ATCATTTTCTCTACTGATTTTCTATGTTTAGCGAAAAAATGAAGAAAATCTATGGATTAGAACTTTGAATTTTTTGCAAAATGCACCATTGAATTCCGTTCATTTTAGCTCTTTGTTTATCTGTGCAGTGGTTTCTGATGCCCCTTGAAAGGTTAAGTTTTGTGAACACGTTAGCAACATTTGGAAATATTAACGCAACAGACTCACTTAAACAAGATATTACTAGAATAGTTTGTCTCCATTGATTTATCTTTGATATTTTAAGCTAAAAACCCTGGAGACCATGCTGATTTATGCACATCAATTTTTCAAAATCAGACTAGTTTTCCACACACTTTATCTCTGAAACTAAGTCCATGACCCCCATTTTTTTTTTTTTTTTACATTTCTGAAACAAGTAATTCATTATTTGTCCACAGTAGAAGTTTGAAGAAAATCTATGTAGTAGAACATTTTTCATTTTCATAGAGCATCCTTAAATTATTTTTCAGTTTCAGATGCATAGCATTATAATTTTTTATTGTTGTGCTACATGTCCCCACGGGGTACTCCCATACAGGTGTACAGGGGCTATGCAGAGCTACTGCTATGCCTTTTGTGTCACTGAAGAATCACTCCATAGATGCCTCGCTGGTACTGTTTCTTTAGAAGCAGTTTCTTTAGTTACCATGTTGACAGTAGTAGGATAGACAGTGCCAAATTACTTGGACATGCCTGCTTTTTTAATTTATTCAAAATGGCCACCAATAAAAGTGCGAGAAAATGTGACGTTACTGTGACATCACCAGGTGGCTCAGGCGGCCAGACTGGTGAGTGGCTGGCATGGGGGATACTCCCTCCTCCTTGCTGGGCTGACATCACGAAAGGGGGGATACCCCCTCTGGTGAGAATATAAAAAAGCTGATATAAGATTCCTGATAGGCTTTTTCTTATAATGCAAACAATGGAACAATGGGTCGATATTCTTGAAGCAATTGAAAATTTTAATCCTTATCGCAATTATGTTCGATCTCTGATCAGAAATATTTCAACAGAATTTCTGTGGCCTTGTTATTAGACACCTTCCCCTAAAATATATAGTGGATGCCTTTCCATAAAATATAATATAAAGATCACATGAGAAATGTCCCTTCACCTTTTATGGTTTCCTCCACCGAAATTCATATGCTTCGTAAGTGTTTTTCACTTAGGGAACAAATTGAAAGATTTCTCAGAAAAGATGGAAACGGAGTTAACTTGTGAGTAGAAGACACCGCTGGGGAAGAAGTCGCCTATCACAAGACAGTCTGGTTTGTCAAGCTCAACACACGAGGGGACAAATGGCTAGGACATTGATTTTTTAAAAAAATAAAGCGTTGTTATGGTTTGAAAACATACTTGGAGGCATTTATGAATAAAGGCCCTGTTTTTTTAAAAAACATTGTCGTGTGGTGTGTGTGAGTTCCCAGACAGGTATAAAAGCGCCTACCCAATGCAATTTTTCTTGATTTACACCAAAGACAGCGTTGAGGACACATTATGAATATCAAAGTGCAGGAACAGAAATTTTGCCAGTCGCTGGACCAGTTGATCCACAGCACCACCCAACTGATCAATACATTAGTGTCCAACGTGGTCAAGAGTTCGCCGCAGTTATACATGAAAACCAAGCTTCACTTGTTGAGTTGCATTGGTAGTTTATCCCAAGTGGTGGTGAAGTTGCAACAAACCTGGAATGAATTGACGTGTTACAAGAAAAAGGCCAGATTAGCATCAACTGAAGAGGAATCCGTTGTGTTTCTACCTAAAGAAAAAAAGAACAGTAGCAAGAGAGCGGCTCAGTCAGTCAGAACCTCCACCAAACGTGGCAGCCATGGCAGAACCAGCATCTATTCCAGTTATTTCTTTGGAAGAACGGATCCACGATCAAGCCCCTCTCCCATCATCACAGGCACTACATAAAGAAAACACTGTGTAAAAAAAACCAAGGATCCAAACATGCCTCCAGAAGGCATTTCACTCTTGGAAGGAACGTGCTTGAAAGCAGCAGCTGTGCAATTAGAGCCTGACATGTTGCACACCTTGGATTCGCTCTATGCCTTCTACCATTGTCAATGGTGGTGTTACAGTCACATGTACTGTCTTTTCAAGGTCCGCCAGGTTCTCCTCAATTGGGTGGCGTTACTAGTGGTGGCTGCTGGCGTGATTGCCAGTTCCATCTTCACCAATACCATCTCTCCAAACCCCAAGGCATATGAGAACGGGTACCTTCTGTTACCAGTGAATCCCACTTGTTAACTCCATCGAGTGGAAGTGTATGATGTTTATCAAGGAACACCCAGCATACTGAAAAATTTATAAAAGGAAGTGTGTTGTGAGACGTTTGGTCAGACCATACAGGTCACAATGGAGCACAATGAGAGGGACATTAGTGATGATGAACAGACAGTGGAAGAAGACGACACGATCAAGGTAACGAAGATGAAGAACCAGAGGATGAATCAGAGGACGAAGAAGATGACACACTAGAGGAAGAAGAAGATGAAGAACCATTGGGGGAGAAGATGAAGAAAAAAAATCCATGGCATTCGAGACGAAGGCAAGGAGCGATATAAGGAAACACTTGAAGCCTTGATAGCCGAGTTTCAGAAAATTGGCAATTCACAGGAAGTGGCAGCTGTTAAGGTGTACAATAGCCTGCTTCCTCTTTACATAGAAGACCTGAGAGATGTGTTGTTGGAAGATCTGAAATGGATGTGTGCCTTGAAAAAGGACCCCATCTATCAAGAAGTAGAGGCAACCAGAGACGAATTAATGGAGGAAAAGGGATATCACTGGTTAGAATCCACAGAACTGGCCATTCACGAGAGGTGATTCCTACTGAACAGGCTGTTTAAAGAACAATGGGTTCCTGGAGAGTGAAAACTGCTGATGATGTTTGTCATAATTCAAAGATTACATACTTTCAAAGATAGGCTTTAACAGTTTTATTAACACCTGTATTTACATGATTTAGTGTTGTTTGATGGGTTGTAGAACTCCAATATACCCTGGTTCATCTTTTAATACATTAAAAGGAAAGTGTATTTCCTCTGGGGTTTGTGGGTGATTGTCCACCACTAAATACCCATAAGGCTGAGTAGTGGCTCATTTGTGCACAGGCATAAAACATTTCACATCACCCATCCAATGTTGCCCCAGTGTTTTAATGTAACGGGTGTCAGCTGGATTTCTAAAAAGGATTGTGTATTGATAGTTGTGATTCATTCCAATGCTGTGCTTGCCTAAGGCATACAGGTTTTGTGTGACCACAATCACAAAGAGATTGAGGTGATGAGCCTTCTTACTGAGTAAATCCATCACTTGGTATGAGTCAACAGTTTCTCTCTTCAAGTCATCTAGCACTAACAAACCAGGATGTTGTTCCAGGGGAAACACTTCTTCCCAAGGGATGGTTGGTATTCCTGGGTAAAAGGTAACACCCATGTCTTGTTGCATTCTTGTGAATATCAGTTGCCAGGAGGAGCCGTAACAGTACAAGCCTTGTTGAAAACATACACTGGCTCCAGTGTCATCTCGAAAATAGGTGACTACATCCTGTATCAGTTTGGAAAAAAAACGTGAAAAAATGTGGGTCGTAGGTCTTGCTCATACCCATTCCACTCTGTGAGTTGGCTTCTAACCAGGGTAAGGAGGGTGTGGTACCAGGCATGCAGGAGCCAAGTTGCATGGATTGAGAGTCTGATCAGTGAGGACAAGTCCTTTGATGGTGGAGTCTAACATCTTTACGACTGAAGACTTTACCACACTGGCAAGGGTAGTAGGTCTCATCATGGACACTTGATATATGCCTTTTAAAATCACCCATATGGGAAAATATCCGTGAACACACAGCACAAGTTTGTTTCATCGCAATGTCTTCTAGCTGGTAATGGTCATAAAAGATGCCAGCACTTCAGCATAAATACATTTTTTAACTCATATACAATCTGGGGATTCACCCACTACCACCATCACCTGCGCCACAGCCAACACTGTCGTCAACGCAAACGCAGTGTGCCACCACCGCCAGGGCCACTGTCAATGCCAACGAAGCCGCCACCAGTGCCACTGTCAACGCCAACGATACCGCCGCCAGCGCAGTACATGTGACTGTAACACCACCATTGACCCATACGGGAAAATGTCCATGAACACACAGCACAAGTTTAATTTATTGCGATGTCTTCTAGCTGGTAATGGTCGTAAAAGATGCCAGCACTTCAGCATAAATATAATTTTTAACTCATATGCAATCTGGGGATTCACCCACTACCACCATCACCAGCGCCGCCACCAGCACTGTCGTCAACGCAAACACAGAGCGCCACCACCGCCAGGGCCGCCGTCAATGCCAACGATGCCGCCGCCAGCACCACCGTCAACGCCAACAATGCCGCCACCAGCGCAGTACATGTGACTGTAACACCACCATTGACAATGGTAGAAGGCATAGAGCGAATCCAAGGTGTGCAACACATCAGGCTCCAATTGAGAAAGAAATCATGTCATGCCATTTTCATTTCCATGTTAAAACAATTAAAAACTCCATTTAAACATTGCTTAATGGAGTAGGCCTTTTGCAACGGTTGGTCACATGACAAGAACACACTGATTTTGTCATTGGTATTGCATTTACAAATAAACTTACATGCGAATTTTCAAGTTATATCCTTTAAGACGTAATTTTTATGGATGTTAGAAAATAGAAGGATTTGTATGGGAAGAAGACGCTTTGCCCTCCAGACGAAAACGAAGCGCAAATCGACAAAAACAATCATGCAATGATGCTTTTCATATCAAAACAAGTCAGTCTGCCAAAAATTAGCTCAATCCTGCAAAAAAATAAAAATCAGCCCAAAATTTCAGATACGCCCTTTTTGCACGAAAGCCCTCGATTATTATGCAATTATGTAGACATGCAGTTCTCTAATTGTCTTTGTTAGTTTTGAATCTTAGCTCTTTAATGTCTTTATTCATAGGGTTGAGATCAAAAATGGGAGCAGGTTTTAGCAGAATAAATGATTTGACCATCATTCAAGCTACCCAGGTGAACTTTATTAAATATTTGAAATCATTAAATTTTAATGACCTTTAACATTGCAACTCTGATGAAGGTGGACAGAAGCCACAGAAAATTCAGAACAGAAAGCAACAGATCAGATAACAAAAACCTTAATGAAATTGTCTGTGGCCTATTGTAGCACTGGAAGCAGTATTAAATTTTAAATGAGGTCTAATTATTGTATGGATCAATCCAACTAAATGCCAGTGCTTTGATTGCTACATACAAAATGCATTTTCAACTTCTTTTTCATTTGGTGGGAATTTTGTAATTTTTAATTTTCAATGCTAGTTTTCCTGGTTTCTTAACAGTTTAACTTGTTATTGTAACTGAAAGCAGTATCATAGGGTTTTCCTCAGTAGTATAAAGAAATTGTTAGGATCAATCACATTAATTATTAAAGGCATTCTATATGTATTATCATCACATCGAATCCTTTTTTCTTCCATAGATTAGAAGTAATCATTAACATTAGGGTACAGCCTGTAGTCTATGGACTATATTGTCCTTTAGCTTAGTCACAAGAATACATCAAGGACTGGAATTGCATTATGTCTTACAGCTACCACATGTATCGACACGTTTGTAAAGGTGGCTGTTAAAACTCAGTCAACACTGTGTTTGAAATCTTTATGGCACAACAAGTTTGGAACGTTTCGGTAGGTGTACAGCTCCCCAAATGGTATAGCCAATGATAAAATGTCAAGGGTGTCTTCACTGAAAGGAGAAGACAACTATTGTAATTGTTTGAAGTAACATTCTTTGTTGCTATTACTTACAGGGCCTTTGTAGGTATTTAGAAGAGGTTTTCCCGGATCTTAAGGAAAGAGGAGTTGTTGTAGGATTCGATGCAAGACACAACAGTGAACGGTAAGGAAGTTAATGGCAAGAAACACCAGTGTTATCGAATTGTGCTGTGTTTAATTGCATTATCACTGTACTGTTGGCATATTTTACAGTCTATTGGTAGCTGAGATAATTACATGCCAAAAATATATTTTGTAGCCTTGCCCAGAGAACAAGCAGCGTATTTGCCAGTCAAGGAGTTCCTGTGTATCTTTTCTCTAAAATAACACCTACCCCATTTGTCGTAAGTATATTTGATGCATATGTTTATCCTCAAGTATCTCATGCAACTGCTTCTGTTTATTTTTATATTTTGGATTTGCAGCTTTTATTTGATGTTTCTGAGTTCTTCTTTGTCAGTAATTACATGTTACTCCATGCCCCCCGTTTGCAGACTATACAACCCAACCACTAGAAGAAGAGCTACATGTATGGCAACACAGCGGCAAAATGTTTGCACATGCACTAACTTTGAGCAATTTGCTGCAGTATTAGCTATGACAGTGTGTTACAGGGCTCAAAATAGTGGCTGGCTGCTGGTGAGAGCTGGCAATTTTTTTTATAGAACAAATGGAAAGGAACGTTGCTTTCATCGGTGACAGCAATGCACCACTGGAATGCTGTAATAAACTTAATGCAATCATGGCTTTGTACATGACTTGGACCACAATTAAAAAGCTCCTAGAAACCAAGATTTTTGTGCTACAAATTTTAACCATTAGTACAACACCATGATATTGAAACAAAACGTGGTCTTCATTTTTGCATGGTAGTGCGTTGAGTTATTTCCTGTGCTTATTTGCTGTGTATGGTTATTATGTTCTTATTTGTAGTGTTCTAATAATAATAATATTGTCGCGGCTAATCGTCGTCGCAAAGTACAGCAATGACACAGCTCAACAAGGTCGAACCAAAAGCATACATAAGGGCCTAGTTTCAGGGCTCTTTTTTTTAATTTCCCTCCTCCTCTTCTGCCCTATGATACTGATTTATTGTTGTATTTTCATTCATAATTAGTACATCCCAAGTGATAAAATTTGAACTGTTCTTTTATTCGTGCTATAGCCTTATAGTGTACTAAAGTATAAATGTACCTGTGGAGTCATGGTAACAGCATCCCACAATCCCAAAGATGACAATGGATATAAGGTAAGAAAGTTTGCCTAGCCAAGATGGGAAAGACGAGATCTAATAATAGTAATCCCAATTTCTCAAAAGATCAGAATTTGATGGAAGGTGGGACAAAAATTTCAAACTTCAAACACATAGATTTCTTTTCATTTTTAACTTGTGAACTGCGATTAAAGCAAGTTTCAAGTTGTTGGTATGGTGCAGATTATGCAAATGATATGCAACTGAGGGGTGGCAGTGGCATAGCAAAAGAATAATGACATCACTATTTGTCTTATGATGAAAAATTTTCATGAGTTAAATATAACGTCTATAAGATAAGACAAGACAAGACAAGATAACTTTATTAATACACATTTTTTACATCAGTCAATTAAGTAACTGGACTATCTACCTATCTACCAATCTACCAAACTACAAAGATTAAAGATTAACAACAACAATTCAAATAAAAAATTCTGCTTTTCATGGAGGCTGTGTCTAAAAATTTACTTAAAATTAAGATATTACAGTACCGGTCAAATGTAAGTTGACAGTCACTCAAAACTCGAACAACTCGACTCGATCCTCAATCCTCGAAACTCGAAAACTTCGAGTATCAAGTCTTGAGTCGAGTCCCTCAAGTTTCGAGTCAAGTCGTTTGAGTTTCGAGTCGAAGTGACAAAAAATTTATCGCTCGATTAATCCTGTACGTGTCAATCTTGCTGGTTTACTTTTGGAGACAGAGAAATTTTCAGGTCGCGACTCCAGAGGCAGAAGGCAAATCTACATTTGTAATTCAGTTGGCTTAGTTAAATCGATTGTTTTGTCTCTCGGTTGAACTTCTTTCGATCTGGAGTTAATTATCATTTAATTCAGAGCAACAACACAGTAACAGTTCTGAAGACGACACTGAGTTTCATTTAAATCAACTGTACGAAGGCTCGATAGAAATCAGAAACGTTAACTCTCGAGGTGCATGACATGACTCAATATCGCCAGCTTCCAATCGGTTGTTTGTTTTGACGCTTGGTATGAACACATTTCTTTCGATTCAGAGCTATCTTTAATCCATTCGCTTATGATTTCACAGGAACTTTTCCAGTCAGTTTTCAATTCGATGCTGGGTTTAGTTTTACCGCTCGATAGAAGTTAGAAACTCTCAAAGCGGGTTGTTTCCTGCAGACAAGAAAATGCACATCAAAACTGAAAGATCTTATCTTCAGCTGAAGTTACATGTAAGATCAATTGTTCGATTACCTATAATAATGTCACAAAAATTAAGATATGTCAACTGTTAAAGCTGTTAAATAAAAAAAATGAATAAGTCTGAGGAAAACCTTTCTGCTTTATTCAACCTAGAATTTTACTAGCCGTGGGAAGCAACGATTCTGATTGGCCAGCCTGTAATTGTAAGTCAACAAAAAGAGTCAACACAGTTTTTTTTGTCTGGGATCCGTCTAGGTTTTTTGCGAAGGCACAGGAAGTTTTGTTTGTAGTTTAAATCAAGTTGTTATGTTAAACATGCCTTAATGTAACAGAAGTTCACATGACAGGAGTAATTTAACGCTGCCATGCAAGTTTCGCAGTTTCATCGAGTCACACACAAACATAATCAGCGAAAATCACAAAAATGAACATTATGCAAATTCAAACGCGCAATCACTGCGGGCTGTCAATGCAAACAAGAGCCGAAAAGCCGTCCGCTAAATGCAGGCGATGTTCAAGTTACGTGCACGGTATCTTGACAGGTATTTTTTTTAAATACGATATTTGGCTAGAAAATCATTTGCAGTACAATCGCAGTAACACTTAGAAATTTGCATGCGACAAGCAAGTTGAAATTTGAGCTCGCTGGAACGGGAAAGAGCTAGAAATATCATTTCACGCTCGCAGGCTGCGTTCTCTAAATTTGGTTGATTCATACACGTGTTGTTCTTTCTATGCGACGAATGCTATATAATTGCGATTCAAGACTTCAACTTCAGACTATCGATTTGGACGTTAATATGAAATACACGTACTCTTGCACGAATAAAGGAAGTCGCAGGATGCGCGGTATTGTTTATTTCTATTGTTACAAATTCGAGATATAAATCGCTTTCTTAAAAAATTCTTCGAGCATCTCGAAACTCGAAACTTGAAACTCGAGCCTTGAAACTCAATTCTCGATTCTCGAAAGCATCGAGGATCGACGATCGAGGATCGAGGATCGAGTTTCTAGTTGAGACTGTCAACTTACATTTGACCGGTACTGTACTTAAAACTGTGGCAACTTAATTTAGATTTGAAATCGGTTAGTGAAGATGCTTGTCTTAGGTCTATAGGTAAGTTGTTTCACAACTGAGCTCCACTGCGCAAAAAACTTCTTTTAAGATAAAAAGTTCAAGGTTGTGGAAGAACTAATTTGTTTTTGGTATTCCGTAAATGATAAGTACCCACATTGTTATGTTATATGAATCTTGATCTCAGATAATCAGGTGTCATACCATGTAATGTTTTATACATTAGTATAGACTTCTGTTCCAATCTTTGTTAGTGGAGTCTTTGCCACCCCAGTGCCTGGAACAAATCGTCCAAATTACTATCATAGCTTGCAGACATTAGGGTGCGAGCTGCGTGATTTTGAAGTCTTTGGAGTTTTTCAGAAAGGCCCTTGTTACAGTTTCCCCACACTACATTGCAATAATCAAAATGTGGTTGAACAAGGCTATTACAAACTTTAATTAAAATATTAAATGGAGTGAGATGCCAAATTCGTTTAATTGCACCAATAGCACAAGCTATCTTCTTAGAGAGTCTAGAGATATTTTCAATATGGCACTCACAGTTTATTGTTTGATCGACATAAGCTTCAAGGGATTGAGTGGAGGTTACTTGTTCTACTGTGTTCTCATTTATAATAAGAGAGGGACTTTCCATAAATTGTGACAACTTCTGCCTTGATGCAATAAGCATAAACTCAGTTTTTTTCATATTTACGGATGGTGCCTACTAAATACAAAGGTTTTTGCGCCAACTTAGGACCACATGGAAAAAGTAGATCTTTGCAAGGGCTATTGGAATCCACAAACAAAAATGGGGCTAGCCATACAAGTTTTTGAGGTAATTACAGATGCACGGCCTTCTCGCTGAACTACCAATGGCACAACCTTCTGTAAATGGTCGATGTACGTCGAGCACTTCTCTGCTGTCATTCTTTCTTGCCAAAATCGCGTTATTCCGCCGAGAAGCTCATCCTTCGTTGTGGGCTTTACGTTGGTGCGAAGGAAGTGTTTAAGTTCATGCCAGATAAGCTCGATAGGGTTCAGGTCTGGGCTCTCCGGGGGGGTCTTCCACCAGTTGATTCCACTCCGATCCATGAAGTCTTGTGCTAGACGGCTTGTGTGCTTAGGGTCGTTGTCTTGCTGGAAGCGATGACCATCAGGAAATCGAGACTGAATGAAGGGCAGAAGGGTCTTTTCCAAGATTTCGTTGACATAAAACGTCGCATCCATGTTCCCAGAGNTGTTTTCTAGAAGAAATAGAAAACATGTTCTCCATGTTTCTGTCGAGTTATAGAAACACTCATGAAAGTTTGGGAGAACTCGCAAAAGCTGTTGAAACACTCGCCTGCGGCTCGTGTTCCCACAGCATTTCCCAATCTCCCAAACTTCCACTTGTGTTTCTATAACTCGATAGAAACATGGTACATGTTTTCTATTTCTTAATTGGCAGTGTTCTCCAGAAGCACCAGCGGCCAACGTTTGTTGCCGGCTACTCACGTTTCAAGCGCCGGCTACTTAAATTTTAACAGTAATAGTGTGCAAACCTGTTATTATTTCTGAAGGAAACGATAAACAATAGCTATCTTGTGTCATAGACAGATAAGAACATAAAATGTTATTTTAGTCATTCAAAGACATGTAGCATTGTTAAAAGGCTATCAATGTAGACTACAACTTTTGTTGAGATTCTGTTCCAATTCTGTCCACACATTTCGTAAATTCCTTTGTCCAAGTTTGTCTCTCAATGAGCATGTGGTGCGAATGACTTGACGTACCCAGTGAGAAAATTTTTGCGAAATCAGAAATGTCAAAGCGAAATCCGTAGAAAGCCAAAAAGATGGAAAGAGGGGAAAAATAACAAGCTTCTTCGTTTCAATTCAAAGGAACATACAGAAATCGGTAAGTTTATGCTACTGCAGGTTTTTAGTTTACATACATCACCATGTGATTGCCGACTGATCAGCTATTTGATTGTGCAATGTTAAATTTACTGGTTTGTTCAAGATAACTTCATCCCAGGGTGATTCTCAAGTCTACGACAACTCTAATACAGTAGAACCCTGGTAACTCGAACTCTGAAGGGAAGTGAAAAACTGTTCAAGTTAGCCCGGTTTTGAGTTATCGGGGTCAATTAAAATATTCAATTTTCCAGGTTTATAATTAATAGTTTATTGATTTTCAGCACTTCGAGATACAAGACAGTGCAAATTAAAGTTACTTCACGAGAAACTAATAAATTTTGTAACAACTGTAAGGATTATGCATTCTTACAACAATGCAATACTATGAATGTAACTAAGTTTATTTAATACACTCAATTTATGTTCCCTTTTGCATCGTGGTCGTTAAGTTCTCATTGCTTAGGCACAAAAAATGAATGCAGCGTCTGCTGTCATAGGGAACTCCTGAAGATTCTTTCTGCTAATGCCTCTATTTGCTGTACATGGCTTCTGATTTCCTCTGCACCCTCCTTCACCAGCAGACTGTATGAATTCAGCACATCATTGCAGATCTGACTTTGCTTGCAGTGATCTCTTCGTTGTACTAATTAAAATCAAATTGCTCCAGTCTTTGTTCTAGTGTTAGAATTCGATCACATGAGAAGAAAAGCTTATGGGATATCTCAGTGGGCATCCGTGGCGAGTTATAAGAACCAGAAATTCAAGTTATCGGGGTAAATTTTGATCAAGTGAAACAAAATTTTGTTTGAGTTAGCGGGGTTTTCGAGTCATCCAAGTTTGAGTTAACCAAGTAAAAATGACTGAAAAGTTGGGTCAAATCTAAGGGAATTGAGACTCAGTTCAAGTTAGCGGGAAAGTTCGAGTTATCCTAGTTCGAGTTACCAGGGTTCTACTGTAGTTTTAATAAGGCAACATTCTCATAAGGAGAAGGTAGATTCTCATGAGGTTGCATTTCACTGCTAGTTGCTCAAGCTCGCTAAACAGTTAACATGGCAGCTATGTTGAAAGTCAGACGGAGTCTCTTTGCATCTGTTTCTGCATATCTTGGAATGAAAATAAAAGGCGTGAAAATAGGAGGCTTTGAAAATTGGTTTTAAGAGAAAAATGTTGTATATTGCAAGTAATAACTACTGTACAATTTTTGCACGACAAACTTTTCAATAAATGTAACTGTATTTGTAGTACATACTGTCAAATTTGCATAAAAACGGCACAAAAACTGACCAAAAATGACATATCTTTTCTTGTCTCAGTTGCCCCCAAAATGTTTCAGATCACATCTCCAGCCACATAATTTCTGAAAATTTTCCTTGGGAGGGGGAGGGGCATGCCCCCTACCCCCCTAGAAGCTCAAATCCTTCGGATGCTGGATTTGTAAGTGCTGGCTACTTTAAATTTTTGGCTGACTGCGTTAAAATCTGTGGAGAACACTGCATTATGAGAAATTGGAATACCACATTATGAAACTAGGATATAGTAAGGTATTTATCTGATTCACATGATTGAATATTCTTTTTCTTTTTTGTATATATAAAAAAGTATCAATAACTAGATTGGCATGTAGTGCTTGTAAACAGGTTGTCAAAGATTTATTTTCCCTGATACTGTCTTAGTCATATTACATTCCTACAAGAAGAAGTAGACCAAGTTATAGTATTGTTAGCATAATTTCCTGTTCTTATTGCTCTGAACATCTTATTTACTGTAATGTGGCCCTTACATGAGGACTTGCTGTCTGGAATTTATATAATTGTTTGAATGGTTCTTAGATGTGGATTTTACTCTGACTTTTTGCAGATCAAGTCTCCTCGTGACAAGGGTATTTCACAGTGTATAGGGAAGAACCAAGTTCCTTGGAAAGACTCATGGGACATCTGCATTTCCAGTCCTCTGATAAAAGACCCTTATGAGGAGATATGTACATTCTATTTTGAAGACATAAAAAAGTATTCTCATTTCAGGTGATTATACTTCAAGATCCTCACCTGAATTTAACAGTGCTTTGTCTCTTTATTACCTCAAGCAACTTGTATGTGTGTACAGTACAGTACAGTTTACAGCAAAGAAATGATTCTCTTGGTCATGTCTTCACACCAATGGGCATGGAAATTACTAACTAAAGAAAAGATAACATAAATGTGAATTCCTTTTGCAACTTATGATTTGACGATTTTTTTTTTATCCAGCCAGTGCATTGTAAAATGTCACAGTTGTTTCATTGAATGAAATGGAGAAAGTATTTTTACATGCTCCTTGGCTCGTATGTTTTAAAAGTTAAACAATAACATTGGATGAGACAGTATGATATGAAGGATTATGTAGACAGCCAAAGCCAATAACTCCCTCCATAATTCTCCATATGATGCAAAAGTCTATTCTATTGCAGTCTTTAGTAATTGCAGATGAGTCTGTAGATCAGACTGCCACCATAAGATTGCTCTAAATATGGTGAACAGTGTACAAATTGGAATATTACAACAGTTTAGTGGGTTGTTTCTGCTAAGGTCTTAATCCACTATATGCTGTATTACTTCATGAGTTTAAATGAGTTGTTTTTTACTTAAAGACATTAATTATTTATTCTTGCCATGGAGGTATGTGTGCACACAACTTTTTTAACCATACCTGTTCCCTGGTTTCTTTTTTCCCTAATTCTTACTTTGCACTAGAATAAGTAACCAGCAACAAATGTATTGTGATGTGTAAGTAAAGTAGTGTCACATTTTCTGTGTTGAGGCAAAGAGATTATCTCACCTCATCTCATCTCATCTCATCCCATCCCATCCCATCACATCCCATCCCATCCCATCCCATCCCATCTCATCTCATCTTATCTCATCTCATCTTATCTTATGTATTGTACTTTCAATATTGTACAATTTTCATGAACAAGGTGGTCTGTACATGTGCATAATTTGTACATTACTGGAGCTTTAATCACTGTGGTGTGTTGTTGCTAATTTATTTTGAGGGTCATTATCTGTTTCTCCCCTTTAGTGAGGAAAATAAAACAACAAAACTTAAGTATACCTTTACTCCCATGCATGGTGTTGGACAAAGGTTTGCTGAGCTGGCATTTGAGGCATTTAACCTACCCCCATTTGTATCTGTGAGAGAACAGGTAGATGTACAGGACTTTGTGAATCTACACGCCTTTTTTCTATGCAAATACTTTGATAGGTATTCTAGAATATATAATCATTTGCTACATACTGTACCGGTACATCTTGTACCATATTATGGGTCTTTCCATTGCCCTGTTAGAAACTATGTCAAATGTGGAAACATGCACACCACTGGCCTGTTATTTAGAAGTTCTTGTGAAGTTTTGGGTAGATATTTTAGGTTTCTTTTCTTTTAGCTGAAAACATACGTGTAATTTTTAAAAGAAGAGGTTTATTCTAGTTTTCAAAAATAGAAAACTTCTGGCAAATATGTTAAGAAATGGAAAAGATGTAGCTTGTTGAAAGAAGTGTCATCATGACATATAATTTTATCCTATGCAATTACTTTATTACTTTACAGCCAATAATTTTGTACAATTGTACATATTCATTTGGTAAATATGCATGTTGCAGCAAAATGCTCTTTGTTTGGTCAGTGCATGTTAATTTTTGTCTTGACACTACGTACAGTTGCAAGTAAGAAGAATTGTATCCTTATGTATTCCATCATCATTATCTATATCAGTGTGTGATACCTGTAGTTACTGGGTTGTTTTTTTTTTTTAGATGGTTCCAGATCCTGAGTTTCCAACTGTAAGATACCCCAACCCTGAGGAAGGAAAAAGTGCCTTGGTTAGTAAATCAGTATCACAATAAATAAGCCAAAAAGGACTCAATGTGCAAGTAACGTAGTACTGTACTTAGAAGAAAGAATCAAAATCCCAAATGACCTGCAAATGTTAAAGAGTAAAGTTCTTATAGAAAAGTAATGGACAAAGAATCTTGAAGAAGCTTATTGCTCCTGTGAGTGGAATATAAGCCTGAAGAAGCCACTAACCCCCAAAAAATTTTTTCATTTTATAAAATCTACTAGTTTCCCTGATTACTTCAGCGAAAAAATTATCTTGATTGATAAAATCCCTGCATTTCGACAGGCATTTAAACATGTAATTTCCATGTTCACGACCGCGCAAAGTGGGATCTGGGTCGGGCTACTAGTGACGTCACTTCGGGAACCAAGCTAAAACACTCAAGAGACTTTTGACTGAGCTTCGAGGGCAGTCAAAACATTTTCGGGCTATTTGTGATTCATATTTCATCAAAACTGGACAAGAACTTTAAGTGAAAGAACTGTATCATCTAGCATTACAATTNGTCGACCAACCGTAGTATATGCATATTCAATTACTGTGTACAAACACAAGCTACGCAAATTTGCATATTCCGTACTAGTGAAATCATGGAAAATCCCTTGACAAGATCTTGAGAAGATGTTCAGTATACTTTCAGTTAAATGAATACATTTCTACTTCACTGTTATTTTGAATGAAGTGTCTATTTTACGCACGCTAATAACCTGGGAGTCCTCGACTTATTAGTTTACATTTCGGTTGACTGACAAGCGCATTCTTCTTTCAGCACAACAATCTCCATCGGTAGCTATAAGGTCAATCTTAATTGTTTGTTTCACTTTCCTCATATATTTATAAATGCTTGATCCATTCTGAGTTTGTAATTTAGATGTATTTTGTTCCTCAAAGACGAAACTAAAAGAGCAAAACAATTTTGTATTCGGAATGGCCATTGAGAAACACGGGCAGATTACAGGTGACCTCCGGCGTGCGTGTGTTTTTATTAAAATCCACAAATACATAGCTAGTTCACCAGTTCGAAGTGTCAACAATCTTCTTCGCATAGTTGTAGAACGTAGGTTTAGTTTACTATTCGTTTAGACAAGTCTCTATTTCAAAATGCGACACGTTTAATTTACCATGTAATTTCGTCACCTATAGTTTCGTCTGGAACTCACGTCGGAGGATCGTTTGCGCTCGAAATAGTCAGATGGCTTCTAGCTTATCCCAAATTCGTGTCTTATGCAGTACCTTGACAATTTCAAGCTTTCCACTAGAGATAGAGAAGAATATACAGGCCATGAAAATCTCTACATTTTTACAGTGGCGGCGAACCCGAGATCGAAGAAATCCTCAATGGCTCCCTGGCTTTAGCTTCACACAGAACAGCCCACTTCTTTGGTCTTTTTCTCATTTCTGGTAGAGTTTCATCGACATAGAGGTATTGAACAAAGAGGAATACTCTATTCTACGCATCCTGTATTGCTACAGCCTCCAACAACATATCTTTCTTGTATTCTGCAACGATTTTGACGCACACTATCGCATGTTTGCATTCATTCTTCTCAGAAACAAAATATTGTTATTCCTGAAGTGACGTCAAAAGCCAACTCATCCCATTCTCCGCTATTCCTCGGTCGTGAACATAGAAAAGGGCAAATTTACAAACTTTAAAAATTCATAGAAAATTAACAAAAATAGCTGCAACGATAATTTTTTCGCAGTGGTGATCAGGAGAAAAAGGAAATTTATATTAGCGAAAAAAAATTTGCGGGGTTAGTGGCACTTTAAAAAGCTTAACTGCTTTGTAGTGTAGAGTGCACTACCGGGCTGGTTTTGGGGGCTGCTGTTTGCTAACACCTTAATGCTACAACATGCTAAGGTGTGAACTTTAAAGTCTAGTTAATTGATTAATTAGTTAACTAACTAATCATTATGCATTGAAGACTCTTTTAAATACTGGAAATGATTTGGATTACAACTCTACAGTATATTGTCCATAGCAGGAATGAATTCTTTGGAATTTAGAAGATATGAACAATCACTTTCATTACTATGTAATGTATAAAGGGAAATGGGCCCAGTTATATTTCTAGTTTCTTAAAGTTCAGTGTCTCACATTATAACTTAACGGGTAGAGGTGTATCCTTGTTCAACCCTCCTATAACAACCAATACTTCCATAATTCTTTTACTTATAGGGTTACTCATCTATGCAACAAGTTACTCACACATGTTAAGCAGTCACCCAACTTAACTGCATTTCAAAAAAATTTGGAGTTTATTAATCTTGTAAATTTAAGGACAAGCTGTCTATGTAATTACTGTCAATCTTAAATTTTTACATTATTTTTTGTCACAATTTTAGGTTAGATGCGTATATATTATATTTATAACTAAATAATTATTATCGAGCTTGTTGGATAGTTGGATAGCATGATAATTGTTGACAATTCCATGTATGTATCTTTTTTATTACTTTGTTATTTCTTATTTAATTTTATCTCTTTTATTTTAGTCATGCGTTTTATACGTGAGCCTCTGGCTCGGACACTGAGGGCAACCTCAATCCCCCGCAATGATGTTAATAAATTAATTGATTGATTGATTGATTGATTGATTGATTGATTGATTGATTGATTGACATACAGCTGATAGTCTACAGACTATAATAATGCTCTTTGTTGTCATTTGAAACTAGAATTACTGACTTGCAGTTTGTTCTTTTTTAAACAGGACCTTGCAATGAAAACTGCTAATGAGAATAAGTGCTCTGTTATTCTGGCAAATGATCCTGACTCTGATAGAATGGCTCTTGCAGAGAAACAGCCAAAGTAAGTGAAAATACCCTTTGTAGAAATTCTCAACAGTGCTCAGTAAAACAACCATGGAGCACCCATAGTCCATCAACAAGCATTGTCTGAACTAACATCCATGGCTGATGTCCCTTTTGTCCCTAGGCATGTTCCTTAATTCACTTGGGGAGAACAAGTGCATTTTTATTTGTAAAACCATCTGCTGAGATTGTCTGAGTCTGAGTTATTTGTCATGGCTGCTCCATTACGTAATCTTATGGTGCAGAACCGATAATTGATAATTTCAATGAGCCATTATTTCAATTCAGTAGCTAATTTTATTCATTTTAACCTCTATTTTTGACTTTCACAACTTCAGTTGTCTCTGTTTCGTCATAATGATGTTAGGTATTACTAACATTGAAATGTTGAATTGCTATAATTTTTGTATTTGAAGGCAAGGCCTATCTAAATCAACAATCATTATTTTGAACTAGCCCTTTGCTTCTACTTTTGCTGATTGGACAGATATTATTTGCTAAAGGTTTGCCAAAAAGTATACTTGCCTGCTTTACACAATAAGATCTGTTCCAAGCTTGGCAACTCATTAGTGCTAATACCTTTCAAATTTTTAAACAATTTCTGAGATTTGAAAAAAGCTTCTCCCCATTTTACTTGACATGAACTCCACTAAATACGTATAGTTACACATTTAAATTTTGATTTTGTGAAGATGAACTGATTTTCTGTAATGTGTTTTTAAGTGGTCAGTGGAAGGTATTCACTGGTAATGAAATAGGAAGCTTGTTTGGATGGTGGGCATTCACTTGTCACAAAAGGCAGCATCCAGAGCTATATCCAGGTATGCCACAGCTCAAACTAAATCAAGGCAAGTTTCTTTTCAGAGGTTGATTTACTTAGTATTACTTGTACTGAAAACATAGGCATACTTTTTTGTGAATTAAAAGTCTCTGGGCTTTGTTGTTCGGAAGCTGGTTAACACTAGCCCAGGATTAAAAGTTAGCCAAAGTATAAATTTTTCTTCTAGACAAATTTTTTCACTGCTTTTGTTTTGTGTAGTTTGAGAATATTCAAACCCAAAACAGAAGGCCCAACAGTATAAACAGAAAACCTCACAGCAAAGTTGCAAAACTCAAATCAAAATTCTCGCTTATCCTGGACTAGCTTAATCAGGCTTTGAGTAACCCGGCCCAGGAGGTAGGATCATTGCAGTAAACTATCCTGTCTTGAGTGTACGATATATCTTCTCACTCAAAACTAAAACTAGGGAGAAACAGAGAAATAAAATCATAAAATTCTAGTCTTATTAAGATCAAATCTTCAAAATTTAAAACTTGGTTAATTATTAATGAGTTGGAGAAATGTCATGTTGCAGCACTTGAGAGTAATTTGGACCAGTCTTCTTTGGCCTTTAGTCTTCTTGTTACTGATTAATTATTGGTTGACCAGGTTCATCTGTGTACATGATTGCAAGCACAGTTTCTTCGAAAATGCTCCAAGCTATGGCCAGGGAAGAAGGATTCCAGTTTGAGGTCAGTGATCATTAAGAATGTGTCTTAATGGGTGGGTTTATACTAGTGTAGTATGTTGACCGTAAGGTGGCTCGAAACAATTTCCAGCACTTTCCAAGACGTAGATTTTGATGGGTCATTATAACCTCTATATCAGTTGATGTCAAAATCACGGTGTCAAAACACTGCCCAATCATTGATGAACATTTTGCTGTCAATTTTATGGCACAATAGGTTACCATAGCAACAATATGACCTGCTAAAAACACCCTTAAATTTTCGAAAATTTAAGGTGGCTCTCAACCTACTTTACAAAATTTTTTTAACTTTGAAAAAGTTGCATCTTATCATGCTTATCACAATTCAATAATAAACTAGTGAGACAATCTCAGATAGTGCAGAGTGCAATGTATAGCTCTGGCACGATATTCACACATGTCTTCACCCCTGCCCGGTTCACTCCTGGTTTGTATTTACTTTGGTACCTAGAGCTCTTCCCCTTGCAGAATACGAGCAGACAGAAACCTTGATAAGCCATGATCTTGTCACAATCTTAGCAGTGTGTATGTTTGATGTCTGTATTTTCATTCGATGTTCAATAATAACTTACAATATTATTACTGTTTGTCAAGACAACTTTCAAATTTTACTCTGGTGTTTTACATTGATTT